AAAATTAAACTTGAAGCCTATGCCTATGGCAAGGACATTTAACAGTTTAAGTACCGTACAGTGCAGACCGTCTCTAGGTTTCTACTTTTTAGGAAAGGGAATGGTGGGAGGGGTCTTGACAGCTATCCCTTGAGCCAGGGAATTTTAAATAAATTGGTACAATTTTATGCGTTCTTTAAGTTATCCTTTCCATTTAGAATCCATGATTAAAATCTAGAAGTGTTGATTTAAACAAATGAATAATCAATTTAATTTAGTTTGTAAATGTTATTTTCGAAAACTACATAGACAGACAAATTAATTACACAAGATGACCATTATAACTTACTAAATTGATGCTGTGTTTTCCTTAACATGAGGGAGGGTGTGCAGATCGGTAGCTGCATGTTAAATAACTACGAAAAGAGAAGAAACAAAATGGAAAGAGGAATAAAAAAAAAGCCAATAGATGTATACTTTTTCGTCCCCTATCGATTAAACCGAAGGCACTGTAGGTTTCATCCAAGTCTGTTCGTCTGTCTAGTCTGTCTAGCTGTCTCTTTGTCTGTCTGTTAGTCTGTCTCACTGAGTTTTCCGCACTGTTTCCTTACACGCTGGCAGATATTAAGGTGATTGTCTATTTTACGAAGTTACACGTACATGTAAGATGAGGTTTAGATTTTTTCCACTTGGATGACTCTTGACGGAATTATGACCTTGTTGAGTTCTAAGTTTTATGTTACATCTTCCGGTAGAGGACTAGTATTGCTCAAGGCAATTCTCAGAAGAATATTTGTTTTATTAGAACTAAATGCATCACTATCAATTTCAAGGGCCGTTTGAAATCACTAAAAATACAGTCAATCTTCGAAAGTAAAATAGAAGTGTGGTGTTTGTTTGTGAGAGATATGGAGTATTACTTCGTTGTGGCAAAGGGGCGGTGGGGAGGGGGGGGGGGGCAAGGTCCTTATTAAATAATATTTTGCGATAAGAGGATTTAGGAGCTGCATACCCCTCCTAGACCTCCCATCCCACTGTTGATCCAACGTCAATGCATGTTCACAATGTTTTTGACACATTTATTGGACAATCTGATATGATTTTTTTTTTTGAAATGTCAGGCTCATATTGGTTTAACATTTACATTAATAACTAACTAAGATCTGTATTCAGTACAATCAACATTAATTAAATATTGCATATTAGAATAAATCTATTCATTTAACTAAATAGCGAAACTTCGAGTAAATATCACATCAAGATAAGTCAAAATGCATGTTCTATATAGTGAAATTCAAATGTTAATTAACATATTTTATTTGTGAAGAAGTTTATAACTCGAAATTTTTAATCGATAGGAAAAAAATGTTTAATTACTAGTATCTGTACATGTACATGTATTACCTATAAAGTGTGATACAAAAATTGTGGTATAACATACATGTATGTGTACCTGTACACGTATGTATCGAAAGTTAAAAATTTACGTATTAAATCGTTCAAAATTTTCAAACAAAAAACATTTTTTGTTACATTTTCACCACATTTCAGTGAGTTTTTTTTATGTACGCTAACAATTTAGAGCGAGGAGATTCAGGATTTAAGAAATGTTGTTCACAATTGTTTAAAAGCGTAAAAAAGACCCACGAAGACTGAAAATAATTAAACAGGAAGGAAAAATATTAGACGTTTCATCAGTAGCGCTTAAATTAATACCAGAGAGAGAGGGAGAGAGAGAGAGAGAGAGATTTCCTCTACTAATTGCTTGGATTCAGTTACGATGAAAGTAACACTCACTCATTCGTGCGTGGGAGAAACTCCATGACGCTGGTGATCTAATCATACAATCTTACAATTTACACAAACTATCGGTATTGTATCGTCGTCTGTGCGCATTGGGTGGTCAGTAAATTCAAAGTGACCATAACCGCGCAGAATGTAGTAAAGTGTTTTTTTTAACGAACTAGACCATGTTGAACAAATTTACTTTTCATTGACAAAACCGAAATTCTCTGTTTCACAAGTTACCGGAACGATGCAGATTGATGCACATTGACGTGCCACGCATTAAATACGTGCACTCTCTACCTTTAGCAAAATTGAAAACTTTACTGGGTCAAAATTTCAAGCTTCATTGGCTGCTTAAAAAGTCTGCCAATTTTAACCTGCATATCGACTAATTTATGTTTTGGATGCTGCTATTTGTCGTTTTTGCAATTTATTGTCATTGCCCTATAAACTTTTTTTCCGAATATACGACTTTTGATGCACTAGATCTTTTCAACATAAATAAGCTATAAAAATCGAGGAAAGAAGTAAATTAAAAGGCATATTACATTGTATTTAATAATTTAATTCTTAATAAGCTATAAAGCTATAATTCTTAATAAGCTATAAAAATCGAGGAAAGAAGTAAATTAAAAGGCATATTACATTGTATTTAATAATTTAATTCTTTGGAACATATCTTTGTAAGTTTTTTTTTTTTGGGGGGGGGATGTTTTGAAAAAGAGGAAACGAATTAAAAATCAATATCGAAATTATATATATTTAAGGAGTTACCCATTTTATATGGTACATGTATAAAGTGGTTTGGGGCAGTTTACGCTTTAAAAACCGCGAGGCGGTTCATAAAAAAAGCGTAAACTGTTCCAGTTTATACCGTATAAGTTGGGTACCTATTGAATTCATTCCTCATAATTTAATTTTCATTCATTTGGTGTAAGAAAAAAAGATGATTGTCCTTAAAAAATGACTTCAATTTGTACAAAATTTGAATGTAACGTCAGGCGGATCGATACGTTTTTGACGCAAGTCATTGTGACGTAGGCAACCCATTTTATACGATATAAAGTAAATTTTTTATCCTATCAAATACAGCGTTACAACCATTACAACCACAATATATATATATATATATATATATATATATATATATATATATGACATATGGCTTTAGGAGACCAAGGAGGATATATTTTCTGGCTTAGGGAGACCACTGGATTAAGGCGACCTTTTTCGGTCTCCCTATTATTTTGACCTCATCAGTATTGCAAATGTCTTTTTATAGATAAATAAACAGTCTGCCATTAAATATTATTAATCTTTAACTCTGTTATTTAACATTCAAAAGTTGTCTAATTTCTATCATCTTCCCTAAAAAAGAAAAGAATTTATAACCTACGTATAATTTCAAAGGATAATTTTTCTGCATTTTGGAGACCATGAAAAACATGCAATTAAACAAAAAATCTAGCATATATATTTTTTCCGCTTTTGATTTGTTCAAATGAGTGTTTCTTTAACTTAGTTTTCCATGTTTTATGTTAAAAACCTAAAAAGGAAAAATATAGTAAATTTATGAACCATGTTTTGAATTCTTAGCAAGTGCTTTCCGTCATTTGTTCCGAATGCCATCGGAATGCCCCTTCAGTTTTCAGAAAATGACCTCTGAACACCATGGATGTTGAGAAATTTGGGTAAGTAACTAAAATGATACAGTAATAAGTTGTAATTAAGAATACACAAGAGAAACATTCGATTTTTTTTTGGCCTAGTAATTTAGCTTTCAAGAGAAAAAGAATTAGTATGATTTTAAATAATTGTTAGACTATAGTTCGGTATATAAAATCCTGAAGGAAATTCGAAATAAAGTTAAATGATAGGCCCCTATATTTTTTAATTCTTTTATGCAAGTCCACAAACAAATTAAATATTTAAAGATTAGGCCGAACGTAGAAAAAAAATAGTCTCGCAAGTTGACGCAGCTATTTCGAGCTTAAAAATTTAAATTAAACTTTCTGTAAACATCATGCAGGACATGATCATCATGATATAGTACAAATGAAACAGACCCTGTAAGAAAAAAATAGCTGTAATTTAATAATTGTTTATTAATATAATGTGATCCTCTGCTAATAGAATATATATGCTGTAAAAAAATCTGAATCAGGGTGAAGCAGATTTGATACAATACATGGCTGAAGGAACGGGGGGGGGGGGGCAGGCCCCCTGTAATTTTGCTGAAATTTAGGTATACTAAAGGAAACCTTGCTCCTTTATGCTTGGGCCCCCTCAATAATAACCTCTGATAATGTATTTTTCTTTTGCTTATTAAAAAATTTTTGGTTTGTAGCCTCCCCCAACCTGAAACTGAAAAATGTTGTTTGGTTGTGCTCACCCCCCCCCCTCCAACTAAATTACGTACGGGCCTATTCTCCATCCCTGAGGTTTTCTTTCACCAAAGAAAGATTAATTGGTAACAGTTCAGATATATATAGCAATATTTACGGAAAGGAATATTCTCGTTTAATTATGAAGATGTGACAGTAACTCAGTCAGATGCACAGTGAGTGTAACATTTATTTAATATTATTGTTAATGTTTACAAATAGTGAAATACTGATACTATGAAATTTTAATGGATATATAGAAAATATACAAGTACAACCATTTATTGTAAATCACATACATGAAAAGCTTCTTTTTTTTCAAGCAATTGGAAATTCTTCATTTTTTCATGAAATTATTTTATTTCGTATGTATGATAATTTATTTCGTATTTTAATTCAGTCAACAAATCATTGTCGCAGCCTAGTTCCCTTCATTATTTTCAGCAGTTCAGTGACAGAGATAAAATGATCATTTGAAGGTTCATACCCCCCCCCCCCCCCCACCAAATGAAACTGAAAAATGTTTGGTTTTGGTCCCCTTCAACTGAAATTGATTCCTACTTACCATGCTTACAGGCTTAACTACGAAGATGTGACAGGGAGTGTCATAACAATAATTGTTCAGACGGATACATATTAAAAGCTGATATACGTATCAAATTTTAATGGATAGATAGAAATTAATAAACAATTACAACCATTTATGATAAACTACATAAAGATAATTTTTCAAGCAATTTGAAATTCTTCATTTTTTATGATAATATTTTATTTCGTATATATATGTTTATAGGTTTATTCGTATCAACAAATCTGTGTACGAGTTAATAACGCAGCCAGGTTCCCTGCATTTTCAGTGACAGAGAACCAGAACGCTGATACTAAAACAAGTCCCACGGACGTGACGGAGAAAATAAGTCCCACATGAGTCCTACGTGAGTCCCACAGAACCAGAATAAGATTGCAGGGAAACAAGCCTTGTTACAAGGTTTGAGGTTTGTTTATTTTATATTTTAATTTACACTTTTTAAAAATTATCATTATTATGCAAAAATCTGTGTGCATATGAATATTTACATTTTAATGTTATAAGTCGTTTTGTGGTTCATTTATTTGCGGTGACTGTCCCACATGTGTTTACCTGTTTACATTCACTTACTGACCTAGCGTCTTCAAAATATACCTTCTGTAATCATGACTGTTGTAATCTTGTTTTTATGTTAGTTTACCGTATGTAACTTGACTGTTGTATAGATTTATAGCGATCACTGCAAGGTTTTAATATTTAGGTGAAGAGAAATTTCAGACTATCAATCACAGGCACTTGTTTCATATACGGTGCACCCCTACTTATTTTTACCACAAGGTGTCTAACTCAATTTCAGGCACCCCCGCTTCAAGCTCGTATTTTGTTCATGTATCATTATCAATCATTAACCTACTTTAAATTATTAAAATGACATCGTTCGCTTCAAGAGACTTTTTTCTTGTCAAATAAATCGTTTCAGACGTCTCTGGTCGAGCCTCTTTATTGTAAACCACTCATTTATTCCTCGAAAATTACCTCGATATATTTTTAGGCTTTAGATGGGATACAACTTCCAGTTGGGGGTAGAATAAAACCAGAGACTTCCGAGTATTCCATTCCAAGGTCTCTGGTTTTATCCTTCATTTATAACCCCAACCGCAAATTTGTATCGAAAAATTAGCTTGATACATTTTAAGACTTTAGATGGGATACAAATTTCATTTTTTTTCACAGGTCACGAGGTTTCAACTTAAAAAAGAAAAATTCTCACCATTAAGATATGTTGGAAATTTTAGCTTGATGTGTTGATAATTTGCCAAATTATTATGTAATAAAGGGGACTTTATATGATCACCCGGCGCTGTCGCTTTAGTTCAGTCTTCACAACAATTCTTTTTCAGCACATGCCCTTCGGGCATGTAGACCTATCATTTTTTCCCAGCCCATTCAAATTTGTACATGTCCTACTCAAAATTCTTACATTTACCAGTATTGTGCAACAAAAAAAAAACCATTAGGTATAAAGGTTTCATATTAATTTTTTCAGCGTCGTAAACCAACCATGGCCTGTGATTGCCATTCTCTAAAGCGTTTTTGTTCATAAATAACTTTTGAGTTGCATGCTGGTCATGGCCGGTTTAGCTGAACTGAATTTCAGAAATGGGATCATGACTGTAGTGCCACAGTATGTGGCATTGATGAACATCTCGTAATTTAGCAAGCAACTTCGAGAAAACAAATAGGTTAAACTAAACACTTCAATAATTAGATTGACAATCATTTGACAGGTCGTATCGAGAATGTAGACAGGCAATCCATCGACATTGCATACAGCAACGTTTAAGCAAATAATGGGGGTAGGACAGAATAAATGGCAAGTAAAGATCATACAATGAAAGAAGATTCACATATGCCCTCTTCGGACATGTAATTTGGCAATTTTTACATGCCCGGCTGCAAATTTAACAGGTCCCTGGCATTGGACTCTCGGGTTATTTGGAAGACTGTTAATTTAGTTTCATGAGGTCCGACAACATTGATTCTCAATGTCTGCTCCCTCTACCCCATACACTTATCTTGATAAAATTATATAAATTATATTATTAATTATATAAATTGATATAAATTATATAAACCGGTCTTGTTTATATAATTTTACAATGTCATAAACAGCTGCTTAAGTGCATATAATATAGTAAATGGATTTATATATAGGATTAGGGAAAGATCCTCACTTGATTATGGCAGCATATTTAGCTCGTAGGAGTTTATTATCTACCACACATGATCAATGTCACTTTTGGACGTGAATGACTTTTGACACCCTAACTTCAGTTCAAATCAACGTTAACTTTATGTGACGTCTCTCTGAATCTTTTTTGGCATGTAACTTGGGTAAAAACAATAAAAGTACTCTTGATGCATTTGATTTCTCTTAGCCCGTTTAAACATTTCCAAGGTCTATACCAGTTTTTGCAGGGGCGAAATTATGTAGAAGCTGGAAAAGAAACCCATCCCCTTTTTGACGTATTTGGTTTTCGAGGGGTGAAAATTTTCAATGTTACACTCAACTACATGCAATATTTATTATATTATACTGAATGTTTTATACAAATACAAATAATAGTGAACCTTGAGCGCATAAATCTGCGCAGTCACTGTCACTATTTTTTGGAATATCACCCGTCGTCAAGCAATGTTGACTGTTGCGACACTGGGCGTAGCTTCATTATTCAGCGGATAATAGTGCTTTTTAACAAATGTTTCTTGACGAATCAGATTAATTCATCTAGTATACCTGAAAGTACAATATTAATTAATTGTCATCATTTTCCTATATTAGCATTTTTACTGGTAATGGTTTTGAAATGATAGGAACATGCACTGTTCAAAAAGTCTTAAAATGTTGTTTTGGCTCAATTTCTTTGTTAGATTACTGTGTTGAACTAAGGCAGGTCAATTAAAGTAACATGATCCTATAGATTCCATGTACATTTAGTACTGTAAAGTAGACAAATTTATTGTTCTCACAAGTAGTTCTCAAACATTGATTTAAGCTGGTCTCCTGAAGGATGTAAAAATGCAATTGGTCTGCTTAAGGTACAGTGTATAATATAGACATGCATATTTTATTTTGAATTTGTATTATGTCAATCATTAGAAATATATGGATCTTAATTAGAAAACATTGTTTTCATTAGAATTTAAGATATGTATAATAGGCATATATTCTTCATGCTTTTCCATAGTTAAGTCCTTTTTTACAGGGTCTCTGCTAGAATCATGTGGACCCCAGTGTAACAAATCTATGGAAAGAGAGAAAATCTCAGCTCAAGGGTCAACATGTCTTTATTCCAAGAAAGGTAAATTGATAATTTTTTCTGCTAAAATACTCTTTTATAAATTATAATATCAATGCAAAAGAATGAACAAACAATGTACCTAAAACATTTTGAAAATGAAAGTGCAATAACAGTTAATAATTATGATCAATTGAATGAATGTTAATAATCCAATCAAAGTCCTTGTTGTATATCATTTTTGCTAGGGCTGTGTATTGAGCAAAAAAAAAGAAAAGAAAGAAAGACATTTTTAATGCGATATGCAATATATTGAATTCTTTAACAATTCTGTCAAAAAAGTCTTATAAATCATTATGCATGAATTTTATAAGAATAATAATTGTTTTTTACTCATTTTTAATTTTTTGTCTCACCGTTTTTAAAAATTACACTTCAAATTCAAACTTTTCTTGACTGTAAAATCAACATGTTAAGTAAAGTTGTCTATGTATTTTTATGATTTTGTAATAATCATCTAAGATGTGCTACCTCCTTAATGATTATATCATTTTTGATCAGTTTTAATTCAAAACAGTTAAATATAATCTTTGGTGATTGCATCTTCGCTAGCCAAGGGCTTCTGATACGCTACTCTCCTCATAAGCCCTTCCCATATCAAAAAATAATACATAAAAGTATATTTTTAATATATTTTTAATACAATCATTTTTGTATTGTTTAAAATTAATACAGAAAAAATATATTATTTTTGTATCACCAACAAATAGGTAGATTATTTTTGTATTAAAATCTGACTTTGATTTTTTACAGGGTATTATTTTTGTATTTTTTGGGACTTAGATTATTTTCAGTATATCATTTTTGTATTTTTGTGGACTTAGTTTTTTTCAAGTGTATTTTTTCTGTATTAAAATTGAACTTAGTAATTTTACAGAAAATTACATAGAGTTAATCTGTATTATTTTTGTATTAAAATTGAACTTAGTAATTTTACAGAAAATTACATACAGTAAGTCTGTATTATTTTTGTATTAAATTTGGACTTAATAATTTTTCCAAAAATACTACACAGTCAGTATGTATTTTTTTAATATTTATTTTGGACTTCGTGTTTTCTTTTACTGAAATTTGTATTTCTTTGAACTTAGGAAAATTTACAGAATGTCCTTGCAATAAGTCTGTTGGAATTAATATTTTTTCTCAGATTTTATTAATTAAGACCACTGCTATAAAGGTTGCTTTTATACTATTTACATTTAATTGCTATTTAGAACAGAAAACTTCAGTAGTTTAAATTTTTTAACTAAACAATTTCATTTTTAAAACATGTCTTTACTAGGTGTGAAATTGTCATTTGGAAAGAGATAGATACGTCTAAGGGGACACCTGTGCTGTACATGATACTTGTAAACACGCGGTAAATTTTGAAGTTTCAGAGTTTCAGACTTTCTTTTTGTGTTGGAAATTTTACAGCGGGTTTACAATCGAGTGTTTACAACTATCGCCAACAGCACAGGTGGCCACCTGCAGGCTAACAATAGACGAGTACATGTTATACTACTCAAATAAATAACATGATTTACCCGTGAAAACACATCCCAACCAAAACAAAAACAAGCAACATGGAGAGTTCCACTAATTACAGTACCTACGATGTTTTCTTGACTATACAACTCAATTTAGTATACATTATATTTAATTCAGTACGTATTACAATTACATGGAATAGAACTATTTAACTATCCGCTTTAAAAAAAAAATTAAATAAGAAATTATTACGAAAGAATATCATAAAATAATATAGAAAATGTTGTGAAATTGGTGTAAAGGATAGTTGTTAAACATTATTACAATCTCTGGTACCGTATGTATGAGTTAAGTTGTCCGTCAAAAAGGCTATATATTATGTATCTCCCGCTCGTTTTGATCATTATATTTGAACTTTATGGTCTACTTCACAGGTCAACTTGAATGTAAAAATGGCTGCTCTCAGCGGAAATGATGACCGGAAATAACGATGTTTCGTAATCGGTAAATTCCGTAAGGAATAAAAAAAATGATTCTGATGATTAAATTGAACATCGTTTATTCTAACATAATTTTAGGTTTGTTCAATTGATTCAAGATATTTAAAACCATGTAAATATGTTTTCTCTAACTGTTCCGATCTCAACATCGGTAATTTTCGTATATATGACACAATATGATTGGTCAGATTTTAAAACTCTTCCGTACTGTTCTCTGATTGGTCAACAATATTTCACCCACGCCATTTTGAAAATTCTTCCCGGGACGTGTTGAGAAAGCTGGAGGTGATTTTGAATAAACTCTCATTTGCTCGCAAGTAAAATGTATCGAAAAACAGAAGTTCAGCATAATTATGGTACACAGGATCATATGTATGAACCAAGGAAAGCAAATACATAAGGAGACTGACGTTTTTTAGGCATCATATCCGGACTTTTCTGGTGTAAACAACGACAGTTGCGGTAAGATTATGTATATTTTAGCACATTAAAGTTTCAGTTTTTTAAATAATAATTTAGTACAAAGATAGAGGAACAAAGAATGCCTTTTTACCCATTTTGTAGTATTGTAGAAAGATAAAATAGTACGGTTATTGGCCATGTGGGGAACAAGGGTTTTTGTGATAAATTCTGATTGGGGAGGGAGGGGTGGAAGATGGGGGTAATTTTCAAGCCTTTGGCTTCCTAGTTCTAATTCATTCCAATTTTTTCAAGTTTACCAGAGACAAATTATTTATTTTCCCTTCAAAAACAATTCTGTAATTTGTATAAACTCAAATTTTTTCGAGGGGGGGGGGGCAGTTTATTTAAATAACATTGGGGCACACATTTTGTTTACTCTTTCAACATTTTCAAGGACAGATTGTTTATTACAAATATTTTTTTAAAAATATTTTATAAATCAGTCCCCACCCCCCCTTTTTCTTCTCCAGATTGTCAAATCAAATGGTTGTCCCCTAAGAAACCCCAGATTAAAGAAAAGTAATATCAATGGTACAATTGTATGGAATTTGGTGAACTCCGCTGGATCTTTTGGAATTTCAATTTATAATTATTGTTAATTTTAGTCAGCAGAACATTGAAGAAAAGCTGATTAGTCATGGAGGAAGAAGATCCCTCTCAAGAAAGTATTGCAGGTGTGTGAGCTAAACAAAATCTATATAGAATTATTTTGGATGTGAAAATGTGTGTTTTGTTGAGGTAATGGTTCATTAAATTTTATTATTATATCATTCTGTTCTATATTTCACAGTGATGAAATCAGATGAGATGACAGGTTGTGTGATTTGAAGATGGACTTCTGCAACAAAGTAAACACTCCTCTACCTTTTTCCATACAAAAGTAGAGAGATTGAAACATTTGGTAAAAGTACAAAGAAAACAGGATTAGTTAAACTTGTGAAAAATATCAAGACTATTGAAGAGCAGATTATATGTAAAAAGAAAGATCAAGACTACAATTGGTAGCTGAATCAGTAGCCTGGCCACATTAATTACTTTTTAATTAGCTATTTGTACATTTAAGGTAATCTGAGTTACTAAAATTGTTATTTAACAAATATTTCAAATAAATAAAAGATTTTTGAATAACAATCAATAGATGCTATTAAGAACCTCAATCTCCAACCCCTTTTCTTCAAATAACAATTTTTGCCCATGATCATTTTTGTAGTTTTTAAAACTCTGTTTTGTATTATTTTAAGCATTTAAATGTATTTTTTGTCTATTATTCTTGTACTTTTTTGATATTTTTGAAATACAATCCTTCATGCTGATAAAAATACAAAAACAATACATATTAATACAAAATTAATACATTCTATATTTTTTTCATACTTTTTTGTGTACTGTATTATTTTCATATTTTATATCTTTTTTGTACTTTTAATTGTTCCAGATGAAAAAATACAAAAATAATATATGTGATACAAAATTTATATATTCTATATTTTTTTTGTATTTTAATTCTTAAAGGTGAAAAAATACAAAAATAATATATGCTAATACAAAATTAATACATTCTGTATTTTTTCTATACTTTTCTATGGACTGTATTATTTTTATACTTTGGAGAGGAAAATAGAGAAATAATACAAAAGTACAAAAACAATACGTTTTTACAGGTCATGTGTATCATTTCTGTATTATTTCGAAAAAATAAAGTATATTAAAAATATATTTTTCTGTGTTTGGCTTTTAAAAAGTCTATTATTTTTGACCTAAATTGGAACCAAGATTTAGAGGGTTCCAAATTTGGTCATTAAAAATATACTTTTTTTGTATTATTTTAGTATTTTTTTCTTGTATTATTTTTGTATTCATTTTCGATATGGGTTGGCATACGGTGTTAAAAAAAGTTGAGATTTTTTTCTCAAGTTGTGATTGGAGTTGATCGACATCGTTCGACCAATCAGCAATTGTTTTTTGTAAATGACGATATTTGCGTTCGGGATATATCTTGACTCTTTAATATCGGTAATGTAAAACGCAAGTAAACAATGATCCGTAGGATAACATGCCATTCTATGAATAGCAATATGGTGTCATCCAATTTCTAAAGCAACGTGCAAAAGATGTGATTAAGAATCTATACTGAAGATGTAGATTTGCATTTTTACATGTTTAAATAACAAATTAACATAACTCAATACCTTCTTGTTAATTATTCTTTAAAAACAAAATTTTTTTAAATACGCTTTTTATTTCTCTCGATGACGCAATCTGTGCGTACCTGGTAAGAATCATGATCACGTGACAAAAGCAATCCCGTCTTTTGTCAGCACCGTATGCCAAGGGTTTATGAGGAGAGTAGCGTATCAGAAACCCTTGGCTAGCGAAGATGTGGTGATTGAAATTCCCAACTTTTTCACAGAATTACATAAAAAAACTGCCTGCCCAAAATGTTTTGGAATTAAGTTATTTTTAGCTCACCTGAGCCAAAGGCTCAAGTGAGCTTTTCTGATCAAAATTTGTCCGTTGTCTGTCGTCTTTGTTGTTGTTGTTGTTGTTGTAAACTTTTCACATTTTCATCTTCTTCTCAAGAACCACTGGGCCAATTTCAACCAAACTTGCCACAAAGCATCCTTGGGTGAAGGGGATTCAAGTTTGTTCAAATGAAGGGCCACACCCTCTTTCAAGGGGAGATAATTAAGAATTAGAGAAAATTAAGTGGTATCTTTTAAAAATCTTCTTCTCAAGAACCACTGGGCTGTAAAAGTTGAAACTTAGGTGAGATCTTCATTACATAGTGTAGATTCAAATTTGTTCAAATCATGACCCCCAGGGGTAGGATGGGGCCACAAGGGGGGATCAAAGTTTTACATAGGAATATATAGAAAAAATCTTTAAAAATCTTTTTCTCAAGAACAACAAAGCCACAATTAGGCATATTGATATGGAATTATCCTCAGGGTAGTGCAGATTCAAGTTTGTTCAAATCATGACCCCCAGGGGTAGGGTGGGGCCACAATGGGGGATCAAAGTTTTACATAGAAATATGTAGGAAAAATCTAGAAATTGTTTTTCTTAAAAACAACAAAGCCACAATTAATCATAATTTATATGGAATCATCCTCAGGTAGTGTAGATTCAAGTTTGTACAAAATCATGACCCCCCAGGGGGGGGGGGGGGGGGGCACAATGGGGGATCAAAATTTGACATAGGAATTTATAGGAATAAAATCTTTAAAAATCTTTCTCTCAAGAACAACAAAGCCACAATTAGTCATATTGATATGGAATCATTCTCAGGTAGTGTAGATTAATTTTGTACAAATCATGACCCCCAGGGGTAGGGTGGGGCCACAATGGGGGATCAAAATTTTACATAGAAATATGTAGAAAAAAATCTTGAAAAATCTTCTTCTCAAGAACAACAAAGTCACAATTAGTCATATTGATGTGGATTCATCCACAGGTAGCGAAGATTCAAGTTTGTATCAAATCATGACCCCTCGGGGTAGGGTGGGGCCACAAGGGGCGATCAAAGTTTTACATAGGAATATATACAGAAAGAAACTTGAAAAATCTTCTTCTCAAGAACAGCAAAGCCTTGTTAAGTCATATTGATATGGAAGCATTCTCAGATAGTGTAGATTTAACTTTGTTCAAATTATGACCCCCAGGGTTAGGGTGGTGCCACAATTGAGGATCAAAGCTTTACATAGGAATACATAGGAAAAAACTTCAAAAATCTTCTTCTCAAGAACAGCAAAGTCATGTTTTGTCATACTGATATGGAAGCATCCTCAGGTAGTGTAGATTCAAGATTTTTCAAATCATGACCCCTGGGGGTAGGGTGGGGCCACAATGGGGGATCACAGTTTTACATAAGAATATATAGGGGAAAAAAACTTGAAAAATCTTCTTCTCAGGTCAACAGCAAAGCCATGTTTTGTCATATTGATATGGAAGCTTCCTCGGGTAGTGTAGATTCAAGTTTGTTCAAATCATGACCCCTGGGGGTAGGAAGGGGCCACAATGGGGGATCATAGTTTTACATAGGAATATATAGGGGAAAAAAACCTGAAAAATCTTCTTCTCAGGAATAGCAAAGCCATGTTTTGTCATATTGGTATGGAAGCATCTTCAGGTAGTGTAGATTCAAGTTTGTTCAAATCATAAACTCCAGGGGTAGGGTGGGGTCACAATGTGGGATCAAATTTTTACATAGGAATATATAGGAAAAAAATCTTTTCATCAACAGAAAAGCCATGTTTAGTCATATTGATATGGAAGCATCCCCAGGTAGTGTAGATTCAAGTTTGTTCAAATGATGGGGGGGGGGGGAGGTGTTAGGGAGGGTCCACAATGGGGGATCAAATTTTTAACAAGAGAATATATAGGAAAAAAATCTTTAAAAATCTTCTGCTCAAGAACAGTAAAGCCACTTGTTATATTGATATGAAAGCATCCTCAGGTAGTTCAAAATCCAAGCCCCCTCCCCTTTTAAACTTTTCAATACTGAAGTGATTTGTGCTTTTTCCTAGCCAGTGTGCTCAGGTGAGCGATGTGGCCCATGGGCCTCTTGTTTTTGATACAATATATTCATTAATCTAGATATGTATCGATATATTTGATGCAGCCCTAATTATTGCTGGTTCATAAAATAACTAAAAAATAAACAAATGAAAATTTCGGCATGGTTGGCATTGCAACTGTATCTTACACATTCAAATCAGGCCATTATTACGAGTTTTGGAACATGTTGGGTTCTTCACTAGCCAGTGCCGCTACTACAGAGAAGACAGCTTGTTTTCAAACTGTGTCATTCAAAGTTTCAATATATGAGAAACACAACAAATCTAAATGCTTAGCCATTACACTAAATGATGAATCTACTTTATTGTGTTATTTATTGACATTTGACAATCATGATTTATAAATCATTTTGAAATTTTATATGTATCATATCATAAGGTCTGTGTATTATCCCAACCCTATATACCTACATATCACGATGTATCATTTCAGCATTTATTTGTTAGTTTCTATGTTCAAGATTGCTTTTGAGAATTTTTTTACTCATATTGAGATGCCACTGTCCCACCTGCCTGCTAACGTGGAAACAAAACTCCCCTCTGTAACAAAAGAGTGCACCAATGGAGATAATCTCAAAACTTGTGTAGTAGGATCAACTCCTAACAATGCACCACTTTTCAGCATTTATATTCATTGCTTAAGGGTTTATTCTTACTAATGAAATAAGTTGTGGTGATGCATATATTTACTGTAAGACATTTGTAATAACGAAGCATTTGTGAGATATACCTTTTTATCAGTTATTTACAAACAAGGCATTTGAAGAGGACGAGCACAGTGCATTTTTATGACGTCGAGCTCTTGGAGCTCGAACGTCATCTAGCAAGCGCCCAGTTGAAATTGCGACCGGATATGTACGCGACCAAATGTGTCAGTCGATGCATCCGCAATAGAAAATAGCAATAGCTATAAACCAATTTCTTTGAAAACGCTCAAAATGAATTATAGCTTGAAAATAAAATTGCATCAATTATCAATTAATTCTATTGCAAACAACAATATTATGTTTTATTCTCACACAAGAAAAACGTGATGGTTGTTGCGGATGAATTTCTACAGAAAGGGTGCGTTGAATGACATGAATAACATTTCGGAACGATAACCGTGTAACATAAACAACACAACAGGAGGTAAAATAATTACAAAATTACATAAACACGAATACTACAAGACAAAAAAAGATTGAATTTCTAAATCTTAGCTTTACTTATACAATCTTCTAACCAACTCTATCCTAAAAACCGATGATATTGACCAGTATTGCTGTATTTCTCCATTTCCCAGTATACCGTATACCACGCCCGATCGTAACTCGATCGTCATTGTAATAGAACAGAGTCTTGGTTGTAGTTTAGATGCAATCACTAATACAATGCTTTGACATTGGCAATTAGAAAAAATATTATATAAATTCATGAAATCCTTCATAGTTCTTCAACTGACTGAAAAGGTGTTCGACGGTGTCTGGTCAATTTGAACCCTGCTCCATTCGGACCATGACATAAGGCTCCACACTGTAATTGTGATATTTTGTTTAAACTATTTTTTTTATTATGTCTCCTGAGTTACTCACTTGACTTATTGCTATCTTCAATTTCAAAATGATCTTTTGAAATTGTTTTTCTTCTTCGACGTCATTGAAGCCTTTCAGGCTTTTGATTTTTTTATCTGAAGTTAAGGTGATTTTAAGCAAAAGAACATTTCTTGTCCATATTAAGAAAGCAAAATATTTTGACCTAGTTTGAAGTTTTTTAAACCCATTAAACTTAATTGTTAAAAAATTAAGTATGTAAACTAAATTTTGAATAAAGAGTTGGTCCTCTGTGTAAAACTTGCTCTGTGAGCAAGTTGAAATTACAATGCCTTTCATGATTCCTTCACAAAAAATGGGGTGATGACCCACAATATTAATAAATGTAGGTTTTAAATAATATTTTATATTTCATAAATTAAACAGTGAAATTTACAAAAAAAAAAAAAAAAAAAATTAATCATTTTTAAACTGTTGTAATTTAGGCATGTGGGTATATGTACATATCCTGTTAAAGTCTTTGTGTATCACATTATATCATGATATACTTCAGACAAATTAGTACACCCGTAGTTTTGAATACAATTCATACATTGATTTCATTTGCCACAATGGTCTCTTTAATATTGCAATAATGCATTTGGTCTTCCTAATGCATGTATAATGCAGGTACTGTATATACTCTATGTCCAACTTATAGGTGAGTCATAAAAAGATTAGTATTTTGAAACCAGGTTAAAACATCAGAGCATTGATTTGAAATTGTCAATTGTTGTACCGATTTATAAGCGGGTCAATAGCAAATCCCTCCAAAATAACCTCAAAAAATACAACTGACTTATAGGTGGACCACCTTATAGGCAAGTATATATATGGTATAGTTTTTGTTGAATTTTGCTAACAGCAAAACACTATATATGAATAATGAATTTTGGAAAAAAAAGCTTATTAAGTTTAATGATGCATGTATGTAGTATAGAAATATTGTTCATATGCCTGTACATGGTACAAATATGCATTTTACAGAGTGTACATATGCCAGAATCATATGGACCCCAGACTGGCCCTGGTGATTCCGTTAAGAAAAAAGAGGAAAAATCAGTGCTTGTGCTCATTGGTCATTGGACAAAGGTAAATAGATTTATTTCATGAAACTAAACATGTAAATTACTAGGATATTAAAATATCACAATTAAAATACATGTACTGATTTATATATATATGGATATCAATTGGTCTCCTTGATGGAGTTAAATGCGTTTGTTATCCCTTTTAAGTGGATCATTTAAATATTATGCAGTTTATTTAGAAGCTCTTTATTATCTGCACTGTTCACTTTTACAGGGTGTATGCCAGAATTTTTTCAAGAACAGTCTGAATCTGACATGGAAAAAATGAAGAAAAACAGCCTTCCTGTTTATAAATCTACATTCTGACAAAGGGTAATTTTGTTTAGTTCAATTAGAAGTGCACATTTAATATCAGTTGCTTTCCTTAATGATATATTATAGCATTTTTATTCCCTTATGAACAATATGTATACTTGTAAAGCATGTATCACAAAATCTTCTGCAAACAAAGTTTTGGGTGTATAGTGTTTGTTGTTTAACGTCCCTCTTGAGAATTTTTCACTCATATGGAGACGCCACCACTTGTCGGTGGAGAGCTGCAAATTTTTGTCCTATACTCAGCACTTACGGCCATTGAGCATTGAGGGATCTTTATCGAGCCAGCACCTACTGTGACATGGGACCTCGGTTAATACCTCTGTCTCATCTGAAGAACTGGTCTCCATGTCCCACAATGGGATTCAAACTCGCGATGTAAGGATCAGCTTCTTTCTCCGCGACTCTAGAGTAGACGCTCTAACCACTGCATCTGCTCTACTTTGGCAACTTTGGGTGAATATAAGCATAGGAATCATCATGTCCATCTGTCTGTTCATGTGTTTGGCCACTTTTATGATTAGCTTTTTTGTTCCAATTCTGGCTGAGATAAATTGATTTAAGTCATCTAAATACAAACAAATTAAGGGAAATTACTATGGTATTGGAATGAACATTTTGGAATACTGTCTAATTGTTCCATTGTAGTTGGTTTCTTTAATGTTGAAATAATGCATCTGGTCTTCCTAATGCATGGCATACACTGTATGCATGTGTAATGTTAAAGTTGGCTGAATGTAAAACAGTTCTTGTGTTATGACAAAGGTAAATAGATTTAGTTCATGTAACTAAACATGTTAATTATTAGAGTATTAAAATCTCAAGTTTTGAATACTGATTTACATGTGGAGAGTAGTTGGTCTCCTTAATGCAGTAATAATACATTTGGTCTCCCTTATGCATACTGTATATTATATAAATTTAATGACTGACATGTACGAGGGTTGATCCAAAAGTTCGTGGAATTTCTTCTAGTGTTGTACCAATAATCAGAAAACATCGATTGTCGACAAAAAATGCTACCGATTCCGATGATCGATTATAGTTTTTCATAATCGATCATCGGAAACATACTTCTAATACAATACATTCCGGAATTATCCATTTCTGGTTTAAAATTTATTTCTTCTTAATGAAAGAAAATGGCATCTGCATCTGATACTAGCCAACTAGCACGAAGCAGAGGTGATTAAGAACCGAAGATGCATATACAGTCAAACCTGTATTAAGCAGTCACCTGCGGGAACCATTAAAAGTGACCTTTATAGAGAGGTGACCATTGAAAAGAGGTTCATCTTTTTTTCAAGAAAAATTCTTTTCCAAGTTATGTTAATTTTGTGTTTTAAAAATACTACATCATAGAATATTAAAGAAAGATGTGTTTTGGACATCATTGGTCTCAGTTAGATTTTTTAAAAATTTAAATAGTCTCAAGATTAAGTTCAAGATAAATTTGATGACTCCAACAAAAAATATATTGAGTCTAATAAGGGTATTGCATTATCCTCCCTCCAAACAACAACAAAACTTTCTTTTATTATAGAATTACATTATCATGTTGTGTCATGAATAAAATAAATTCTATTTTTTATCTAAACTGCCTCTAAAATATCAAGTTTAGTTAGTCTTGATAATTGTATGTTTAACAATACAGTGGCGCCGCGTTTATCCGGACGCCATTTATCCGGACGCTTCACCATCCGGACGATATATTTTGGGAACCGATATTTTCCACGTTATTTTGTCTCATTAATCTGGAAATTCGCGTTCCGTATCCAGACGGTCAATTTCTACTACAAAACGTAATAGTTTATTGAAAAATGACTTGTTTATCCGGACGGTAATTTTTCAAAAAACGACTTTTTCACACTTCACTTGCATTTGTGTTAATTGTTGTAAAAACATTGGTCATGCAGTCAGTTTGAAGGCGGTTCCCTGTGACCTACAAACAATAGCGTCTATAATTAGCATGTGTTTACCCTAATTCAATCACACGTATATCTTTAATATTTAGCTTACACTGTGCATTAATTAAATAATAATCTGTTCAAAATCATATTGCTAACCGTATGTACATCGGTAAATTCATGAGAATTTTGGAGAGTTGTAAATAAAATGAACAATAAATAACGAGCGATTTCGTAATGCTCTTTATCATGTTGATCATGTGTTGATTGCGTTAGTTTAAAATACTATTTTCCATTTCTAAAAAACGTAAATGTATTTGAAATGCTTTTTTCCCCACAAGACAGTTTAGAAAGGTACATAACTGAAGAAATATCTCTATTTAATGTTCTACCGTTTACAAACGTCCATTGCTTTAGAAAAGATATATAAAACTGGCGTTACGTACAGAAGTTGATTACGTTTATCAAGGTATTTTTAATGATCGAAATTCAAACTTAGCGTCTGTAGCAAAAAATATTGATAATCATGAAGATGGCTTGTGTTTACGAATGTTTTTAATACTTTGTTTGAGTAAGCTTGCAGTTAATTTTATAGTAACCCTGTGTTATGAATATACAGGGAATATACGGGGTTAGTTTATATCTGAACATTTTTAATGATGATGCTGAACAGTTCTGTCATATCATATGAGCTTCAATAATTATAATATATGGCTGAATAAAACAACTGTAGATCAAAATTTGCTCAGCCCATGAAGTTACAGGCCAAAGAGAAGGTGAATTAAAATGGGAGGTCTCAGCATAAAATTGCCCATCCATTTTTTTTATTGTGTAAATTACATTTTAATATATTTTTTTCTTTAATCAATTACTGCTTTTAAAACAATAAGGCCAGGTAAAATTAATCTTTAGATTCTCATCCCCGCCCGCCCCTCTCAAAGTGCCCCGCCCCGTTGTTTTTTATTTTGCTTTTTGAGTGTCAAACGTATTATTATCATGTATTTTTATTCAGCAAGAATCTGGGTCAAAATTTAAGAGTTATCTCCCGTCTGTATTAAAAGTCGCGTGGCACTATTTATAGCAAAAGACTATGTGAAGAATGGAGGAAAATCGGCAATAAAAGCAGTTTAAATATGTAAGGTAAAGATAATTTGTCAGTATAGAGAAGGCAGAAAAGCAAAAAATAACATAAACACATCTAGATACCATCACTGGCATGAACAATTTTTTTAATGAGATTTTAACCAAGTAAAAACAGACGAAGAAAATGACACATGATCAACCGATCTCCAGTTATATGTGATTTTGCATTAAAAAAAAATAAACATCGTTCAAAGACTTTAGAGAATAATAGTGCTAAGGAAATGTATAAAATCTTAAAACTGTTCAGGCCTAGGCTTTTCAGTAGAATATTTTACAGATTTACACAATCCTGTTTTGCAAATATGATATATTTTAATGTCGAACATATCAAGTCTCAAGAACGATTGAATGTATGAGGACAGTGGAAATCTGTGATATATCACACAGAACAGAAGGAGTTGTTGGTAAGACTATAAGGTACTTGGGGAAAGGCCGATGAGAAAACATGCATATGCAATTTATTAAGATCAGCACCTCATTTTATTTGGCGTGTGCCATATCTGTGTACTTGATAATTTGTTAATAAAACTATAAATATTTTAATTTTCTATAACAAGAATCTTCTGTAGATATTTAAAAGAATATGAAAACAATAAAATCTATTCATATTGGCATTAACATAGTGTAAAAATTATGTGTACGAATGTTTTGTTGATACTTTCAACTATAAAAAATAAAAAATAAAATCCGCCCACCCACCCCAATTTTTAAGCAAATTAGGATGAGAATCTAAATTTTAAATTTATGTGGCCTAAACTAAAATATAATTTAGAAGTTTTTTTTCTTTGCTGTCACATTTGAAACAAGAATGTGCATATATACAATGTACATGCTGAGCGAGTGCTTTTTGAGATGTGATTCAATTATCCGGACGATTTCGTTGGGGACAGAGGCGTCCGGATAAACGAGGCGCCACTGTACATAAATTGTAGCGTAATAAACAGACAAGTTATAATATTCTCAGTTTATCAAAGCAGTGCATAATACAAATTGATATATGAAATTCACAGGTGTTGTGAGCAATGAAGCGTGACTAATCCTAACGGTCATCTTACCTAGTTGAAAATCATGATAATCAGAACACATTGTGTAAACAAACACAGTTAATTAGGGTTTCTACAAATAATATGTTTCCTATGTGTTAAAAACGGCCTGTCATGCGTTTACACAATTACACCTATCGGAGTTGGGCATGCCAAACGTGAACTAACAATTAGGAAACAACTAATTATTGTCTCCATTAATGAATAGGTAAATAAGGGTGCCTTGTGTATCACTCAGAATTTTTTAAACCAGATTCCAATTCAATAAGATTAAGATTCTCGTACGTCCATTTTCCTTATAACCTTTTCGGTCACTAGCACCCTTGTTTTGTTTTGTTAAAAAAAATAATAAATTATCCAATATTTTAAATGGTTTTAATAAGGCCAATTATTTTTTCCATGAACCAATTATTTACATTAGTGAGAAAATTGAAAGTCACCTGACTTTAGGTCTGGTCACGTGATCGGACAAAATAGCCACTATATACGAGGTAAAACAGCAATTTTACATGAAATTTGACGACCGCTGACCGCGTTACGCAGGTGACTGCTTAATAGAGTTACATTATATAGGAAAATTCATTGGGAGGAAATAAAATGACCGCATAGGACAGGTGACCACTGGATAAAGGTGACCGCTATGTCAAGTTTGACTGTATAGGGCCTAAAAAAAATATTTTTGTTTCCTGTAATAACCCGACCATTCAATTTACCCCCGGGTGAATTTTTTTTTCTGCCAAATCTGTGTTTGCTCTTTGGTTTGATCAATCAGCTGATTCTTTTTATTCAAAAAATGTTAATTGTATCTTTTATTTGAGATATAAAATATGCAACTTAGTCAACATTTACCTTAAATATAAAGAGTGATCAATTCCCCCCACAACTTTTTGAAGTTCGTTTTCTG